TCCTTTCTCCGACTTCCTCGTCGGGTAGAGATCCTGTCCACGTCGTTGGAAGAGACTCTTGCTTGAAGCGTTTGCCAGTCTGCCTTCATGATGGGAGACCTTGGTTCCTCCTCGTTCCTCTTCTACCGATCTCAACCTTGGATCGGTGGACATGTCCGTGTTCCTTTCATCCAGCATCATGTTCTTGAGCTTTGCATCCACCAACACCGATCCCTCCTTCGCCCTTCTCCTCTCCCTCTTCGACACAGTTCCATTCCCATGGAGAGCCGTCATCTTGGTTTCCTCACCTTCGAGGTATCGAGCATCCTTCCACCAAAACCGCGGCGAAAGGCTAAGCGAGTCCACTTCCAGCTGCGGATCAGGAAAGGAACCCTCCATTGGGGAAAGACCAGGGTTCTGGCCAACAGGAACAGCAAAGGTTCGAAGTAGAAGATGAGCCACAAAGTTGATGGTAGATGGAATGGGGGAAGAAGAAAGAAGAGAAAACAAAGAAGAGGGGGGTGGTAAGAATAAGAAGGGACCTGGCCCAACCTTGACATCCCATTCTCCATCAGCATCCTCCTCATCATCAAGGATGTGATGAGTTGGATAAGATGAAGGAGAGTGGGACCCGAATTGAGGAGGGCACATGGACGTTTCTGGTTTTTTTTTTTTAAAAAAAATAGAAATTTAACGTATCTCCCCCATCCCTTTTCACTTTCAGTGTCCCTTTGCCTTGCCCGAACTTGCCGACCCGAAGCTACCGATCCGAGTCGGCATGAACTCTTTTTCTCAACCGCTTCCTCAAACTGCAGGCGAACGAGGAACGAGGGGGAAACGAAGAGGGAAGGCAAGGGACAGAAGGAAGTGATGAAAGTGAAATTGGAATGGTTCGACGAGATGAGATTGGGGGGGGGGGGGGGGGGGGGGGGGGGGGGGGGGGGGGGGGGGGGGGGGGGGGGGGATCCTTCGTTCGTTCGTACGTTCGTTCCAAGGTCTTTGAGCGATGACCTTGAGAGTCCACGTCCTCCCTGGTCAAACTATGTTCGTCCCAATTTTTTTAAAAAAAAAAATTAGTTTAATCTTCTTGCCTTCTCTCTGCTCGCAACTCCGGTTTCCTTGGTTGAAAACACTTTCACGGTTTCAGCTCGCGGATTGGCAAGAGGTCTCGTATTGGGTATTTTTCATTTCATTTTTTTTTTGCGAGGGGGTCATTGGCCGACCTTCTCTCCTTGTCCCTCACGAGTGACCTTTCTCATGGAAGATAAAATGAAGGACCGGAACGGGTCAGCACAAGAATGAACGCAGTGCATCCCCAAGAGGTTTCTCTCTTTCCCCTCTTCCCTCCCTCCCTCCCTCCCTCTCTCTCCCTTTCTCTCTCTTTAGAGTTGCTTATTCAAGGGGGAGGAGATGTGAAAGGCTCGCAAACGTGAGGTTGTTGCCTGATGTTACAGTGGAATTCAGAATGAATGCTGGTGACGGTGGGATTTCTTTGAGCGAGCGTAGAGGGGAGAGAGGTGATGCTAGCCTGCATTCTCTTGGTGACGACTAGTTTTCCGGAATCCGGCTAGGTAAAGGATCAAGGGCGGAAGTCTTAGTGCCAAGGTCCGGTGAGAGGCCTCGAGAAGCAGGCTTAGCGAGGAACATCTAGCATTCGAATCTCCGACTTACAAGACTGTGATCTCCTGTTGCTTAAAGTACCTCCTGTTCTCCTCGTCGATGAGGACGAGGTTGAGGTAGTACCTCGTGCTGAACTTTTTGTTGACGTCTCGGAAAGTTGGGGTCAGCTCAAATCCGCCCAGGAACAGTCGGATGGGTATTGTTTCGCCTTTCACGTCAGAAGGAATTGGAGATCGAAGGCAGAGATAGGGGGAAACGGGGGGATGGAGAGGAAGGGGAAATCAGAAAAGGCGGCTCAGGGACAGCTCGGATGGTTGCGATTATGCTCCCACCATGGGACCGCGCGTAAAGACGCACCTCGGACTGGGGCGCCGTCCATGATCTCGAACTTTGTTATCGTCTCCGACTCGTTGTACTGATTGGGCGCTGCTCCTGTCGTCTCTCTCCGGATGATGGACAGCTCCATGTGCTTGATCTTGATCCTCACCAGCAGGAAGTAGATCTTGCCGACGATGACGTCCTTGAGGTGGTACTTGGACTTGTTGTATTCGAACTCGATGTGCAAGCAGTCCTCGATACCGACCTCCATCTTGATCGCGTTGTTGGAATCTGGTGGCATCCTGTACGAGTGAACCCAGATGTCCTTTTCCTTTGTGACATCTGCCAGCCTCCTCGAGATCGTCACGCGGACGTAGTATCTGTCGGCAGTCGAGGCAACGTTGGAGGTGAGCCGCTTTGATCAGAATCGAAAACACCAAAGAAGGGAGAAGGGAATCCCCGACGTGGGCGCTCACCTCAATTTGACGTTGATACCATTGTAACTCTCGAACTGCTTCTCTACATTCTTGAATTCAAAGTCGAAACTCTGAGCCGCCCTCATCTCACCCGGTGAAGCTAGTTCTTGGACCAGTGAGAGGAACTCGTAGTGATTGCCTCGATCGTAGAAAAGTTCTGAGTCCCACAGCGGCAAAGATGCGAAACGGCGTGAGCTACGACTGCCTGGGCGATTGTGAGGGATCTAGGGGGATATCAGGCTCACCAATGCTTCCAACGAATTCGATCTTGATTCCATCATGCGCGAGCTTTTTCCCATCTCTGACCCTGACAGAGACCTGTGGATGGTTGGAAGAAGCGAAGAAGAGCGAGGGGCGGAAAGAGAGGTTTCGCACGATCAGTGGGGTCATTGAATGCTGGGCAGCTGAGATCCACACTCACAGTCCCCTTGACACTCTCTCCGTCAAAGAAGACGGGGCACTTTTCTCTGGATTGCTTGTCCATCTTGATCTCGACCTGCTTTCTCTGGTCCTCATTTTCCAGCCTTATGTCGACATCGACAGGTGAGGCGAAGGAGAAGAAGGATGCCATGGAGTGCTGGTTCAAGGAAAGGCGGCGATGAGGCGGCGAACGAGGCTGGACTGAATCAATGGAAGATTTGGAATGAGGGATGCAAGGCTGATCGGCTGGGTAGAGGGGGGGGGAAGTGGAGCAGGGGTGTTCAGGTGGATTGGACACTTTCTTTTCACTGTGTGCCCTTCGCTGTCGTTCGTTCTTCGTATCCGAGGATGGGATTGTTGATGGTTGATGGTGGTGGTGGCGTGGTGGCTGTTCTGGGCCCCCAATGTGAGCTTTCGAAGGCATGGTTGCTGCGCAGGGGCCACCTCACCAACTCTCCACTTTTCCTTTCGTTCCCTTTTTTTTTTCTTTTTTCTTCCCTTCCCTTCCTTCCGAATCTCTTCCTCTTCGCCTGATAAGTTCTCCATTCACGTCTGCTATTCACAGAGACGCCTACAACACCTTTTTCCGCACCAAAACCTCACTCTCCTTACTTCTTGTGTACAACGAGAGCGACTGGTCAAGACGCAGGAAAGCTCGAGCGGATCAGGGAGAGTGAGAGAGAGCCCAACAGTGATGAGGGCCTCGATAGCTTCAAACCTTCCACCCGAACTACTTCGACACATTATCGAACTCACCTTATCTGACTTCTACCAGTTTAGTCAGTACGAGTCCACACTGGAATTCTTCAACGAGGAGCACGAGAGGCAATCCAAACTTCCAAAACTCCTCACCGTCAACCGGCATTGGTACCAAGTCGTCTCGGACCTCCTCTACTCGAGGCCCATCCAGATACCGAGGTGCAAGACCCTGGTCAAGTTCCTGAACTCGATGTCGAGAGACCCTCGCAAGAAGGACTTGGTGAGACATCTCATCTTTGATGGAGAGCATATCTCGACGCAGGAGATCGATGTCATCCTGAGCACCCTCCCCAACCTGAGGGCTCTCGTTCTGTATCCTTGCATACATGGGACTGGAATCGTAGTGGATCAAGAGACGAAAGAGTTGAGACTCTCATACAACGCTTCCCTGCCTCCTTCACAGAGCCTCAGATGGCTCTGCTTCGACGTCTCCCCGGACGGCTTGGTCGATGACCCCCAAGGTCCCTCCAGCGTCAGGGAGAGCGATTTTGAACTCTTGGTGAATACCACCCACAGGCTGACGGATTTCTTGAAGGAGGGGAAGGTGACGGAGATGGTCACATCGTATTGGCCCTCGCTGGTTCGATTGGATCTAGAGGCACTGTGCGACTCTCCGAGTTTCAGGGCCCCGGCCTTGAGGACGATCACCAACTTCCTCTCCTCTCCGCACCTGGCCCCAGAGCTGAGGATCTTGGTTCTCAATCTAGACACCTCGGACGACTACGAGGACGAGCTCGACTCTGACGAGGATGAGGACGAGCCTGTCCTCCACCGCGCCAACCGCGAGGAGGACAGGAAGGAGATCCTTAACCTTTTGAGGAAGGCGAGCGACTGCTTCCCCAAATTGGAGTTTGTAGAGATCGCGATCGACAGGGAGATCCTCACCACTCGACCCGAGAACCTCGAGCCGATCGAGTTCGGGGGTCGGAAGAATTGGAACAGAAAGAGGGCCAAGAACAGGTGCCAGTTCGAGCTCCTGAGGAAAGGGATCAGGGAGCTCGACCTGAAGAGGGTCTCGGTCTCGCTCCAGCTTGACGGTGAGGAGGACATCATCAGCTGGATGCACCTTGCCGGATCGGACCGCTGGAGCGAAATGTCCTTCTCCAACGAGCTCTACGACTGGACGCCAAAGGCTCAGCACAAGATGCGCTCAGGTCAGTACACGATGGGCGAGTTGGCGCTCGCCGACAGCGACGGCTCGGACCCGATCCTGGAGCAGACTTACGATAGTAACGACGTCTGGGAGTTTGTCCAAAGGTTCAGGTCCAGGTGGCTGAGGAGTTGGAGGGGTGCCTTGGACGACTGATGCTCCAGAAAAGCGAGAATAGCGAAACTGAAAACGTGAATGAATTCAAACAGAGAAAAACGATTTTGTTCCTATTGATAGAATTATATTGATCAATCACACTGTGTAAAACAGTGACAAAAGCGCTCATGGTGTAGTGGTTTTGCATGCCACCTTCCCATCGCACACGGTGAAAGGTGGAGGTCAGGGGTTCGAACCCCCTTGGGCGCAGATTTCTTTTTACTTCCTTCCTGGAAGCTCATCATTTTTTCTCCTTCTTCGTCTGAGCTTCTTCGATGTCGGGCTCCATCACAGGAAGAGAAGTGATGAACTTGAAGGCACGGTTTGATGATTGCGATTCGCCCGTCGATCTGAAACGACTTGTTGGCTCAGCGTGCATGGCCTGTGCGCTGAATCATCCCCCCACTTTCTCTCTCTCTCTCTCTCTCTCTCTCTCTCTCTCTCTCTCTCTCACAAGACCCCCGGTTCGCATGGAGGAACTGGATTGGACAGGATGACGGTGGTAAGAGTCGAAGGGAATGAGCTGCTTGACGTGTGATCTCGCCAACTTGTCGTGTGTGCTTGTGATGCGCGCGCTGAGAGGAATGGGAGGCATGTTCTTGTTGGACCGCTCTGATCCTTTGGCGGTGTGTGCAAAGGAAAAGAAGGAAGGCGCAAGAGAATCGTAGGTTGCGGCCGAGTGCGTCTTCATGCATTCGAAGAGCATCGATCGGGCAACTCAGTGCAGGGCAGCAACGAAGGGGGATCCGATACGATCACTATGCGTAAGAAGGGTCCCAGTAGATGGAGAGGGGATCACACGCAGTTAGTGAGGTGTATGATTACGATCCAGTCACAAGCAGATAAAAGATCCAAGAGACTTGCAGACAAAGGTCCAGAGTCCAGACTAAAGACTCTGTGCAAAGGATTCATGATTCGAAGTGGAGAAAATAATCTACATCAAGCCTCTTAAGCTTTACCTGGTATCCAAGTCCTGTTTACCCGTTGGTGACTGTATATATGCAGCCATGAGCGTGAGGGCTACTGCAAGCAGGCTTTCAACGTAATAAGGCCGCTTCCGATCTGAACACACTAAAACCAGACCTAGAACAACAGCTTTGACCTCAGCTTGATCGTAAACCACCCAAAGTCATGAGTGTTATCCCAGTCTTGTTCACTACTTGTAATCCACTCGTACTGTACCCCAGCGGAAAGAAAAAGCAAGACGAATAAGAATGGTCAAACTCTCCAGCTGGTGTCACTCATTACTGTGAACGACTCGTATGTACTTTATTGTAAATCTGAATGGGTGGAGTGCACTCTATGACTGTACTCACCTCCCAAGTACGCACGATCACGATCGAGTGGATCCACTACTGCAGTGGGTGAGTAGTCACGTCGAGCCCTTTCCTCTCCCTCACTACATATCAGAATCGTGAACGTCCGGTATCTTTTGTAGAGTGTCGGCTTCTGCACACTACACATTCGCATTCTCATCGTAGATTGTACAGTCTGAGTCTCAAGTCTAACAATCGCTCAACCTCCCTCCAGAGGCTTCACACACACACCACACACACGCACCAACTCACCACCACCACCCCTCTCCGGCATCTCCAGCCAACCCCAGTCTCAACCTCCATATCGCATCACTCCTCTCTTGCACTCCCAACTCAAACAAGCGATCAACACCGTGTCGAGAAGGGGAGAGAGAGAGAGAGAGAGAGAGAAAGAGAGAGAGAGGGAGAGAGAAAGAGAGAGCGTACCCGTAGATTCCTTCGTTGGCAATCTCACCACACACACCTTCCTTCTTCTCCCCTCTCTACCCTGGAACGGATCCATCCGATTCTTCCCTCTACCGTCCCTCTCTCTCTCTCTCTATCATCTCTCTCTGCCCTCTCCATCTACCGTCTCTCTCCACCTTCGTCTGTTCCCAAGATTCGTTCCAACCTCGGCCTGTCCGATTCTTTCTTCTGGTCATCCATCTCCTCCTGATCTTCTTTTCCTTCCTCAGTCCACTCCCCGATTCCGCGCAAGCATTCATCCCGCATATGACAGATCCAAGTTCATCCTCGGCGGGAGCCGATATTGACGCCCTCGCTTCCAACCTCTCACTCAACCCTCCTCCTCTTTCCCAGCCCATCTCCCTCCCTTCCCATTCCTCGTCCCCATCCTCCCCACCTCGAAGATCCGTCCAACCACAGCAACCCGTTCGGAGTCCGCAACCGAATCGGTCCAGCCACCCTAACGCCGCTTCCGGAGGGCCCCAGCCAAGGCTCCCGCCATCACCTTCCCAAAGGGGGGCACCCCCCTCCTTGGCCTCTGCTGGCGGTCTAGGCGGACCGTCCATGGGAGTGCCTCACCAACCGCCGAGGGGTGGCGTCGCCAGCGCGAACGAGAGGGCCAGGCAGATGGCTTCCACCAGGCTGCCCCCCTCGCTCCAGGCCAAGCTCGCCGCCAACGCCAATCGATCCAGCTCGCAGAACGGCGGTATAGGCTCGCCCGGCGGTCCAAACATTCTCGGCCACGACCAGAGGATTGACAGCGCCAGCTTGCTCGGATCGGCGGCGGGCGCCATGGGCATGGGCATGGCCATGCCCGGCATCGGCGGAGGTTTACCTCCCATGGGAGGCCTGAGCGCAAGGAGAGGGGTCCCCTCCTTGGCAGGTGGAGGTGGTGGGCCCCAGGGCATGATGGCTCCAGGAGCTGGGCCGCCGATGGGAACCATGGGTGCGAGGAGGAACAGGCCAGGCCTCAGGCTCAGCGACATGGGTATCGGCGCCAACGAAGGCGGCTTGTCGTCAATGGCGGGTCCAGATGCTCCGCCCTCGGGAATGATGGGGGGCTCGGGAAGGAGGGCGGCACCTCCGGGCAGGTTGGCGCCTCCCGGTGCCCTACCCAACAGCTCCTCGTCCTCGGGGGGAGGATCGAGTGGAGGAGGTGCCATGGCCACCCCTTTCAGCAACTTTTCCAAGATCGTCGACCCCTCGGGGAGGCTCAACTTCAACGGCAAGGCCGTTCTCCACGCCTCTGGAGTCGAGTTCGAAAGCGGCACCTCGTTCAAGATCAACATGGAGGACCTCGAGCTGCTTGACGAGCTTGGGAAAGGTAACTACGGTACCGTCAGGAAGGTCAAGCATACAAGGACTAAGGTCGAGATGGCGATGAAGGTGAGGGTGCAAGATTGCTCGGCCTCTCCTCTCCTCTCCTGCCTCTCCTTTGCCGGCATTGGCGCTCACTGATTCTTTTGGCTCCTTGCTGCTGCTGCCTCTTTTGCTCACCTCATCCCTTCCCCCTCAGGAAATCCGATTGGAGCTGGACGAATCCAAGCTGAACGCGATCATCATGGAACTGGACATTCTCCACCGGGCAACCGCACCTCAAATCGTCGAATTCTACGGCGCCTTCTTCATCGAATCCTGCGTTTACTATTGCATGGAGTTTATGGACGCTGGCTCGTTGGACAAGCTCTACGGGGACCGAGGTTCGGTCCCCGAGGACGTCCTAGCCAGGATCACCGGCTCCATGGTCAGGGGGTTGAGCTTCTTGAAGGATGAGCTTCAGATCATGCACAGAGGTCAGTATTGGTCCTTGCCTTTGTCCACCATGCCCTTTCCCCCCCTCTCTCTGCATTGGATCTTCATTCTTATTTTTATTTTTCTGTACAATGTTCGCGTTTGGACTGACGATCCTCGCCCCCACTCCCCCTCTTCCCTCTTCTTCCTTTGACCACTTCAATGGGACTGGTGCAGACGTCAAGCCAACTAACGTCCTGGTGAATAGGAAGGGACAGGTCAAGCTCTGCGACTTTGGCGTGTCTGGCCAACTGGAAAAGAGCCTCGCCAAGACAAATATCGGTTGCCAGAGCTACATGGCAGTGAGCATCTGGTTTCAACTGCTCCCATTTTCTTTTTTTCATTCTCTTCATTCTTCCCCCCCCCCCCTCCCCCCCACTCTCCTTCCGAG